GGGGGGGAGAGAGAGAGAGAAAAGATAGTGTCGGAGGGAGGCGGTGAGGTTGACGCACAATGTTTTAGCGTTCCTGTCCTGAATAGAAAAGGCTGTCCAACAGCTAGTATTTAAACACTTAGCAGCACGCTGTTTAGCTGACGCAGCATCATACAAATAATTTGAGCAGTTTCCGGTTGAAACTGGTTACTGTGAGGGTATTAACCGGATACTAGGGGATGACTTCCCGTATATTTATGCTGTGTTAAAAGTCAGATTGCTCCTCCATCTTCCGTACCCCCTGCACAGTGGGTGAGGGAACCCCGACTGGTAGCAGTTGTTGTGTGAATAAGAGCAGTGTACGCAGTTTCCATTTGGGGGCACAACTTGTGTCTCACTTTGTGATGCTGATATCTGTCTTAGTTATGGCAAAGATATGTTGCGTGGAGAAGCTGCGGCAATGGCTTCATACATTGCACAGGGAAAGCGCATACCACGCCGTGGCGAAATTGGCCTTTCATCTGCAGAAATCTCGGAGTATGAAAAGATCGGCTATGTGATGAGTGGCACTCGTCATAAAAGTATGGAAGCGACTCGCCTACGCAAGGAAAATCAGGTTTATTCAGTTATCTTCTTAGCGCAACATAATTTTTAATAAGTTGGTCTACCTGAAAATTTGCAGTCGTGGGGTTGTTCACTCCGAACGGAAAATTCAAGTGTTTTTCGTGTCATTTGTGGAGCAACAGGAAAAGGAAGGGGAGGGCGGAGGGGAGTTGGGTGACGGTGATTAGATGAAGGAAAAGAGGAACACCGTCCTCGAACATCGATAGCAGCCAGGAGTGACTAGAAAGGTTTAAACTGGAGCACGTTGTTATGCCTTTTAAATTTCTTGGCTTGATTTGTGCTTCTGGCGAAGCTTTTTTAAATTTTATCTCTTATTTTATTCTTCGATAGTTTTTATTGAGTGTTTGCATCGTTGCCGTCAAGGGATCAGGGGAAGGGCGAGAGATGACATGGAAACTGTGCGAGTAAGTACTAAGTGCCGTTTTGTTTTGGAATAGCTGGGTCGACATGTGAGCCATCCTGGTTCAGGAGAGAAGAGCGGCTAAAAGCGGTCTAAATTTGTCTAGAAAAATGAGCAGCATCATGTGCTTTAGCCCTTCCGCTAGTGTCTTGAGAGATTTTTCGCTCGTAATTTGCGTTAGGTTTACGGTGGTCCAAATGTATCGAAATACTGCTTCGATTCAGGTGATGACTGCAGAAGAGAAACGGCTTCTAAGTGGCTTTACTCATGACGAAAGGAAGAAGAAAGAAGAAATCGTACTGCAACAGTTCAAAAGCTTTATCGAATCAAAAAAAAGCAAGAACTGAATCCCAAGCACAAAACCAGTACGGGGCACAATTTCTGCGCGTCGTTTCCTCGAAATTACATTATTATTTCAACATATCACTTGCTATTTTTTGAAGTTTCATAGGAACGGTAAAACCGGGATATATGTTAAGCTGTTCGCTGTCTGGCCCTAGTTTTCGCACATTTTCAAGATTGTCTGAAGCTCGGTCGCATTCGGATACAAGGACCGAGAATCCAGTGCTCGTGTTCGCGTTTATGCATATATAGCTTTTGGAAAAGTATTATTGCCAGACTACACATATACATATATATATATATATATGTGTATGTATATGTATATGTGTTGTCTATATGTATATATGTATATGCACACTTGTTGCAAGAAACCGATGAAAAGAATGATCTGAAATCAGGTCTTAAACCTTGGTGTAGCGTGAGCTATCGCAAAATTTATACTAGTTCTATGTTTTTGGCAGGAGAATGTAGGGAACGCGAAATCTTGCGATTTTGGCTAGACACATAATGCATAGTCTGTTACTTACAGTGCGCTTATGTGCATTATCTTATCACAGGTTCCGTTCCTGGCTGCGACTTAAAAACGAAACAACCTTCGAATTGGGAAATTAGTGCTTACGTATGTGATCAGTGGTTGGCGCTGGATTCAAACTTTTTCTTACCAGCTGGTTCCTGACCGCAGCCGTTGTGGTTTTTGGAAAAACGTTTCCCGTGTTCATTCTCACCGTTAAAGCAGATTACTTTTTCAGTTCGGCTCTAGGTCTGCCTCTCACACAGTTCCCCCAAGTAGACATACAAGCTGATCTTCCCTTCGCTTTCTTTCTCCATTCTCTTTTTTTTTTGTGCGAGTGCCATACAGTAATCCGTTTTTGCCATTCGTCACTCTCATTTTTATCCAAGCAGCGGCCGAACTCTTTCTGGCAAGCACTGCCTTGATAATGTCACTCCGAAACCGCAGTGCGATATGGATCAGTTCGTGATAGGCGTCTGGAAATTAAAATGTCCGGTCTGATTTGAGTGATAGTTACCAGAAATTGATCAAATGTTAACGAAATGCCGCTGGCAAAATGTCAGTTTGGGGATCAGACTGGGTTCAGTGTCCTGTCTTTATGCGAATATTTGTTGCGCATAGGCGGGTACGTAAACTTTAAGCGTTAGCGCACGCCTAGGTCTTGCGAACACGCAAG